GTGAGGTGTCAGCATGTCAAGACAAGTGAATATTATGAATCAAAAAAAACTGACACTTATGGGTAAAAGAAGTCAAATATTAGCTCATCTCTTTTCCTCTCAATGGAGACAAGATTACCTGTTCCATGACTGCTGACGAGAAGATGCCATATTACATAATGCTGCCACCACCATGTTTTATAGTAGGGACTGGATTGGGTTTGAGCCAGATGTGAATGTTAAGAGCATACAAACGAATAGGTCGAAGTAGGAGTAATTTGGTCATCATGAAAAAAGTCTGTTTTACACTTTAGTCAGCCTTTACTTTAGTGCCTGGGTGGGAGCCTCTGCATTTTGCTAAGTTGTGAGTAGCCCTATTGCAATTATGTTAGGAAAGTATCAAATTTATTTTATTATTTTTTAGTGAAGTGTAAAGTACAGTATTTATTGTTAAACTTCTACAATGTTTATTTACTTTAAGTGTCTGTTATATATGGAGTTTGTTCTAATTACAGGGTTTTATAATTCTATTATTTTTTATTTTCTAATCATCAATATTTCATTTCACCCTCCCTGTATAAAAGGGGAAAGTTGACATTCTCTACCTTAAGAACTGCTAGCTGCTGCTACATTCGCTCACTGGATCTGTAAGCTCCCTCCACCCCCTCCATAACTAGTACACACATCCTTCAACCATAAAAGGACAATAAAAGCTGGAGAGTCTGCAGTTCTGCCCTCCTGTCCCTCTTTCCTCACTCAGGAATACAGCTAAGGAATGTATGGTGACACGGTGTTTGCTCTTCATGTTCTGTTGTTTTTGTTTACTGAGTTTCCCACATGTATGCTTAAGTATAACAGACTGGATTTATTACATTTATGTGAAAGGGTTCTGAGTCTCAATCTACAACCAAAGCTGATTTCTTCATAATGTAACTATTAATTTAAACAATACAGGTAGCTCACCCACCTGTAGCCCTCCGCAGACTAGGAAAAGGGGCCGACAAGCTGGAGTTCTTACCCATCAAAAAAATGCATTCTCTGCTCACTACTACCAGACTAAATGTCAAATCTACGCCCTCATCCAAACAAGAAGGATGAACTGGCTTTGCTTATGCAATCAACATGAGACTACACTGCTCTGTGTTCTGTCTCAATGAAACCTAGCTGAATTCAGTGGTGCCAGACTCCATGGTGGATATGCAGGGTTTCTCTTTACTACAGGCAGACTAGACAGCTAATCATTTACTTAAGCTCAAAGGTGGAGGTGTATTTCTATTTGAATCGAAGATGTTTGCCAGACCCTAAGGTACTTCTAAAATACTACTCTCCAGAGTTAGTACCACTTATCATAAATTGCAGGCCTTTTTATCTACCCAGAGAATTTACCTCTTTTGTCCTAGCAGCTCTTTATATTTCACCAAATACATAGAATACAGCTTCTGCTATCCAACAATTAATGGTGAAAATGTACACCCAGATTCCCCCATTATTGTTTCAGGTGATTTTAGCCATGCCAATGTGAGCAGATATAAACAGCAGACAGAAGTTGCAACTTAAAAAAAAAGTACACTATATCTTTACTTCTACACCTTCTCCAAGGCATACAGAGTGTTAGTATGAGCCCCTCTTGTCAGATCGTAATGAAGTATTTCTTGTCCCAAGATACAAACCGAGATTGAAAGCAAGTAAACCTACCATAAGAACTGTAAAAGAGCGTTCAGGGATTGTTTATATATCACAGACCACAAATGTTTACAGAGACCTGTTGTGATTTTAAAGAGCTCACAGATACAGTAACTACATATATTCACTTTTGTGAGCATGCATACATTCCTTGCAAATCATTCATTGAATATAACAGTTATAATCCCAGATTCAATGGGGAAATAAAAAAAAAAACAGGGCTCAAGCTTTTCAATGAAGGTGATGATGCTTTAAAGCGCGATAAATATGAATTCCAACATACTGTAAAGAGGGCCAAAGCTGAAATAAAAACACACTAGAAAACAAACTTATCACCAATGACAGCCGAGGTATCTGGTGAGGCCTTTAACTAATTACAGACTACAAGGTGAAACAAACCGCTCCAGATGACGATCCCTTTCCCCCTGACGAGCCGAATAAATTCTACTGTAGGTTTGACAAAAAAAAATAACATGCAGCAGACTGCACCTAGACAGCCAGTGGAGTCCCTCCTGCCACCATTCTTTAATTCAGGAGCATGATGTAATTTTTTCCCACATGCAGAACAGCAGGAAAGCATCTGGGCCCATCCTTGTTTGAAGAACTATACTGAAATCTTGTGCTAATGAGCTTACACCTATTTTTACAGATATTTTCAATCTATCTCTTAAGCTGGCCAAGGTACTGCACTGCTTTAAGATGGCTACAATTATACCAGTACCTAAGATCCACTGCGTGCAGCCTCAAAAACTACAGACCAGTAGCCTTAATAATAAATAACAAAATAACGTTTGTTATTACTTAAGACTTCAAGCGAGCCAATTTCCTGTCTAATGTGCACTTGGACCAATGTTAGTTTGCCTACAGAAGATGATGTGGTCTCCCTGGGGCTCCGCGATACACAGGGTCGGTCAAAATGTTGTCGACAAGTATACATGCCAATTATTTTACTAAAGTTTTGTTTTCTCCTCCACAGATGGAGAAGGATTGTAAGGTAACTAACTGCTAGACACTTTGACAGATTATTACAAATTAATTACATGAGCTACTGTGACAAAAAAGGTTTCAAATGAAACATAAATATGAGAGTTGTCTCTTTATTGACTAGTTCTGCTTTTAATAATACCTCTCAAGCTTTTTAATAAGCTAGCAGAAATGGGTATTAATCAAACTGTGTTGTTGGCTACTGTATTTCCTTTCTGATAGGTGGTGAAGCTGAAGGATACCATCTCAAAGCCTCTCACCCTAAGTGCAAGAGCTCCTCGGGGGTGGTGTTTTAACACCTCTCATTTACTCTCTGTACACAAATTACTATTTCACATTTGCATTCAGTGAAAATGTTCATGTTAGATTGATGATACTACTCTCATAGGGCTATTGTGTTGTTTGGATGCTGTCTATTATTGGCTTTGTTGTATATTTGTATTTTTATTTTTTTTTTAATTTATGAGCTCAACAAACCAAATTCCATGCCACTAGTTGTTAAAGTAATGAAGCATTGAACTTGAACTATAAAAGAAGATCTCTGCAATTACATTTAGGTTATTTCTCTTCTTGTGTTCACACAACAGCCAAGAAAACGTCACTTCTAACTTATGTAAATTTAGTTTATGTAAAGACATGAGGAACAGAAGAATTGTATAACATGTGGAGTAACATATATCTTCCATTTTTTAACCATTTTAATGATCTATTTCACCACACTCAAAGGGATATTCAGAATCCTTTACAGTTTATCTATATATACCTTTCTCTTGATCTGTGCTTTTCTACAGCTTAATCCCCGGGTTGTTTTGAGAGATTTCATCTCCTTTACTGAATTCTTGTTTTAAATTCATTACATAAGTAAGTGATAACAAAGAGACAAGTTAATTTATTCTAAAATAATGTGAATGATTATTACTGCACAGAGTCTTTTCAACTATAAAAATGTGTTGTTAAGCTGTTAATCACAAAAACAATATATCAGGCAGTACAGTTTAAATGGAATGTATGCTTTATTATTTGTAGTGCATTACACTACAGTAGTAGTAAGGTTCCTGTTTCACTCAGTATTACAGTAACTTGCTATAATATATCACAGAGTGAAAAGGATGGGTGTTTGGGCACAAAGTGTTGTGGGTTGTATAGATGTTAAATTGCATTTATGGGCTAGTGACACCCTGATGCAGTGTGAACTTAACCTTTCCTGCACTGATCAAAGGCCTGGCAATTATCATACGATTCAGGGGTAACATCAGGTGTTGCTAAAAAGATTTAACTGTGCCTCTGATTGAGAGGGGAGGGCCCTTAGAATGTTTACACCTGGTCATCTGTGTACATTCATTTCCTGAATGTGCATGGGCAGTTGGCTCCTTCTACACCCAAAGCTTCACTAGTGCACTTCCACCTCCTGGGCAAAGAGTCAAGAACCCTTGTTAAGAAGGCTTAAAAAGCCCCAGGCAAGACTTTTGTAAAAAGGGAGGTTTGCAGGACTGTTTACAGCATTGGACCCAGGAGAGGACTCAGAGACCAAGGAATTAACACTGAGCAGCCGAGGAAGGCTCTGGCATCATCTCCCCCACACCTCAACCTGACACTGGACTGCATTATTTTAGGACATTTGTTTGGTAACTGGGGTCCAATGGGGAGCTGATGGCTGGTCCAGAATGTGTACCTTTTGTGATGGTTTTGTAAAATGTCGTGGGTAGACAGTGAGACACTTAACTGTTGTGATCACTAGAAAATAAAAAGGGCACTTAAACCATAGCAGTGTATGTTGCTGATCTGTACGTGCACTGGTAATTCTGGGAGATTAACAGAACCTGTGGCTTGGAAAGATGAGTCCTAGATCCCTTTATAATTGATAGATGGTACAGTATAAGCGTCTGCAAAGAACTGTACTTTGTTCAATTCAGTAAATTCAGTAAAACCAATTCAATTCAGTGAAGTACTGAAATGAGGGGTCATGCAATTTGTAACACATGCAAAACAATCTGTTCTAAAGAAATTATGATGAGGCTGAACTGAATTTAACCTATCTAAGAGACTCTTTAGTGCACCTTTGATAATCTGTGTTATGTTAATATAAGAAGGAAATATATTCAACACAAGCCTTTTTCTGAATTTATTTATTTTGTAAAAGTCACAGTGAAGCATGGTTGAGCGATTAGTTCTTAACTAAGAAATAAAATTAGATCAGAAATAAATCTACAAATGTTTCGAATAATTGTTTACTTAAGAAATTAATTAGAAAACAGTTTTATAATTGTGTTAATGATTACATAGAATGAAACGGAGATAAAATGACAAATAGGAAGATATGAGTATAAATTAATGACCTTAAACTAAATACTTACCACCACTCCAAACTGCTCTGGCTCAGAAAGGTTGGCATATTCCTTTTTAAACTTAGCCAAGGCATTTAGTTGCTCCTGCTCAGGCAGATGTTTAACCAGGTTCTGAAGATGAATAACACAGGGAGACGGAATTAGAAACAAGTCTTTTTGGAAAAAAAAATTACAGTCTGCAACAATCATGAGTAATCATTTGATTTATAAAACCACAGATTAGTTTACTAGATGATCTCTTCTCATTTGTAAACTTTTCTTAAACAACTTACATATAAAATATTATATAGTTGTTATATATATTTCTTGATTATTGTTAAGTCACCTTCAGTTGTATGTTTTCTGAATAGAACATTAATCTTCAAGGAAATTAGACATCTTAGAAATACATACTGTATACAATAAATTGCACAGAAGCTAACACATATGCAGCACTAAAAAGTGTACATCCAAGATTACTGATAGGAAACAGTAAAAAATGTTATACAAATATGTAATGCTTAAATACTTAGTGACAATAAACGTGATATAATGTAAAAGAAAATTAAAACAATCATACACTGTGTGCTATGAAATTGCTTTTTGTAATTCTGTATTTTTGTTTGTTCCTCTATTTCTTTTTCTATATGAGGTCAGGATACAAAAAATATATTAATGAAAATGTTGGCTTTCATGTCATTGCTAAAACCTTAGCACGTTACACATAAATGAGAAAAAAAAAAACAAACACAGGTCAAAAACTTTGTGGAAGCCTCTTGCATTAAAAGTTAAGAACAAAATTAACAAAAAACTACATGAGAATTAAGTCTCGTATTTACTTAAATTGGCTGCCTAACACCATAGCAATTACAAGGCTAAATACTGGCTACCAATAATTTATTTATTATTCTAAAAACATATATATATATATCTGTATATTGAGAATCAAAAGATAATTACAAGTAATTGGTGAAAATGTACAAAAAGTAATCCCTTACAAAACTTGTAAGTACTGTATAATAGATTTCTTTTTAAGAACACGTTTCCCAATGTTGCTTATACTACACAAATTCATAAAGATGTTATTTAAAAAAAAAGCTATTTTGCAGCAGATGCACTGATATTATATTGAACATATGGGGCATAGGTAAATTCATTATGATAATTAGCACTTGTCATTAACAGTGTTGATAAACATAAGGTACACTGTAAAGCCACAAGTTAGTAGTATGTAGCCACAAAGCTATATACGCTGTGTGCAATGAATGTTTTGAAACCTGGTTGAATATGCAATCTTGTGGGATTCTGTTGTATTCCTCTTGTACAACCTGGACAAGCATTTGCCTGTTCGTTGTTATCCAATTCCTAGATGTTCAATGGCTCAATGGCAAGGGCACCAAATGACATACTGAAACTTTCACATTTTCATCTAACATGGAAGCCAAAGTTGCACAAGTAGCTTAAAGGTGTGCGCTGTACAGTTAGAACAGCCATAAGAAAGGCAGCATGTGAAGTTTAAGGTCTTGATCAGTATGCATTCAGGGCATCAATTAATATATTTGAACTACTGTAGTAGTCTAGATTCTCTTGCTCAGATGGGCCTTTCCATCGACTAGATTAAAAGGAATACCAGTGATATCACCATCACTGAACACTTCACTACCAGGTAGGCTGATCAGTTTTATCGCCAGTTTGAAGCTCAAAACACCAAGCCTTCCATCTGGTTTCTCTGTGAATCAGGGGCTTTTGTGCTACAACTCATTGAACATGAGTTATAAAGATATAAATCTGCAAAGTAGCTGGCCCAAATGGTGTTTCACCCCAAATTCTCAAAACCTTTGCAGATCACTTAACTCCCTTATTCATAGACATTTTCAACCTGTCACTGTCCCTATCTGTCATACCAACATGCTTCAATTAAACCACCGTGGACAGTGCCACCATCCAAGAAAACCAAGGTGACATGCCTGAATAACTACCATCCAGAGGCACTCACTTCTATGGCTGAGAAGTGCTTGAAAATGACTTACATTAAATATGAAACCTATACCAGGATGCTAATAACTGATTAAAGCTCTACTTCAATACAATTGTTCTCTCCAAACTGAAGTTTAAAGACCTGGGCTTGTGTAACTCCATGTGCAACTGGATACTGGATTTTCTAATGGGCAGAACATATGTGGTAAAGATAAACAACAAAATCTCATCCACACTGTCTCAGAACACTGAAGCCCCTCAAGAATACTCAAGAGTACTCACTGTTTGCTTGGGACAAATACAGAAACAACCATATAATCAAATTTAACACATAACATCACAGTACTTGATCTGATTAGTAATAAAGACTAGTCTACATTCAGCAAGGAGGTAGCAGATCTGATATTGTGGTGTTGTGACAACAACCTAGACCTCAATGTCACCAAGACAAAAGAACTCATTGTAGACTCATTGTAGAGAGGGTCATAATCTGATCAACATCAGTGGAAATTTCGTTGTTTCAGATTCCTTGAATTGCAGATTTCCGACGACCTCACGTTGACTGAATACTGAAATGATTCTGAAAAAGGCACAAAAGGTCCTCCACTTCATGAGGTGTCTGAGGAAACGCAAGATGAGTATGAGAAGACTTGAGTTTTTATCATAGTACCATGGAGAGTGTCCTGGCTGCTGGCATCACAGTATGGTATGACAACACAACCACATGGGACAGAAAGGCCATACAGAGGGCTGATAAAATAAAGCCTATGCCATTATAAAGGATTATAATCACCATGGATACAAACTGATCAAACCTGGCAGGTCTGGCAGGTGGCACTACATTATCAAAACACAGACCTCCAGGTTCAGAAACAGTTTTAATTCCTAAGCGTTATGAGTCTTGAATAGGTAACAAGTAAATGCAAAATGACTGACTACTAGCTCCTACCACTAACTGGCGAATGTTGCATTTTTGTCATGCATAGTAAAAGTTTTTGGTTCTGGATTGTATATTATTTTTTATATAACTATTAGTGTATATACTATACATGGTACTTTGTATTTTATGGTACACTGAAAGATACTGTCTTTGCACTTCTCGTCTACTGCTTTTATTCTTTCTGTTTTCACCTGTCTTTCACCTGTCAAACTTTGAACTTGAACTAGTTTGTTTTATACAACAATTACCACAGTGTTCTACAAATGTGCATCAACAACTCACTGACATCCATCAGGTTGGTCAAAACAAAAGCTTGGTTCATTTTAAATAATAAAACCACAAGAGAAAATATAAATATACAGCCAATGAGGTCCTTGAAAGTGCCCACAGACAAGTGCATATTAAAAAATGCCTGAGACATGTTCAGAGGTCAGGACCTCTAACTGAATAGAAACAAATCTTGTGACCTGTGTTTGATTAGTGCTGTCATTGTCCTCATATCATATTTACTGTTCAGACCTCAGATGCCAACAGACACTGGTCCAAACACATAAATCAACTGAGCACATTTTCTCTTGCTTTAATTTGGTTACACACAAAGGTCTTAAGTCTGTCTCTTTTTTAGAATTCAGACGAGTGGAAATTGCATAAGAGGCACTGAAAGGGCTTCTGCAACTTATTTAGGTGAGAAATTTTGATAATAAATTAAACATGATAACATTTTCCTGCTCTGCTCATTTCCCTACTTCACTCAGATTCATAACATGACTAGTATTGTAAACACCTTCTTAGTGTCAAAAATGAGAAATATACATATTAAGCAAATTACAAAATAGTTATCTGTCAAACGTCTAAGCAACAATTCTCATAACTTAAGACACTCATAAAACACTGCAGTTTAAGACTGAGTACAGCAGTGCTTACTAGGCAGATGATAATCACCTATTTCAGAATTTCTCATGATAGCAAACTACCTACAGTACATAGTAAAAAAAATCTGTCACTCCATGTTTTCATGAGCACATTTGTCTTATAATTGAAGATACCATATTTTGTATATGTGAACAAAATTAAAAATTACACTGAAAGAAATCCCTTTTCACCTTGAGAAGCAAAATATTCTGTAGATGAATACCTGTATCATAGGTTCCGTCAGTTGTTCTTCATCCACCTCTAATATCATTTGCTTGATTTCTTCATAAGGCATCCGGAAGGAACCCAAAAAGATTGCTATATAAATATAAATGAGGAGCATGAGATTAATTACAAGAAATGATCTGTTTAATTCCATCGGGTGAATTTTCTTGCATAAGCTGCATTTAAACAGTAGTTGCCTAGATGCACTGTGAAATCATTTTACACCAACATGCACAGAAAATAAGTAATCTTTCTGACTTAAATTAGAGTAGGTATGAGGTTTCAATTTCACATTGAAATAACAAATAATTTACAAATAATCACTGGACACATTATCTCTATAATGATGTTTTAACCCCAGTGTCCATCAGATCTTCTCAAAAATTTTAGGATGACAATAATTAAGAATTACATTATGTTATGAATGAATGGACCTGAGATTCTACGTTTATTATGAAAAAGTGTAGTTTACACTCCAGTTCATTTTTGTCTCCAAATTAAAAAAAATACATATGAAAAGGGGACAGTTCATTTACTTCAAAACAGACAAAAACATTCATAATGCAGTGCAGGCAACAGTCTTGCCAATACAAAGGTATAAACAAATACCCCTTGTGTATTATCAATGTGTTTTTCATGCAAGAGATCTGCATCATTTCCCATTAGGACATTATTCACAGCATTCTAGTTTTCATCTGCATAATTTATTACTTGGACTTAGATGATTAGCCTCATTTTCATTTAATACTGGAAACAAAGGTTACATGCCTTCTTGATAAAACTCTATGAACTGCTTAAATCAGTATCTATTCAAGTATCTTCACAACTGTATTGCTCAAAAGAGGATCATTAATAATTCTAAGCCCTAAATGACCATTTGAGGAGGGACACCTTTGGTCAGGAAACCACCGGGACCACAACACACACATTAAAGTTTACATCACCACTCCAAGGCACAGAGCTTTACAATCCTCTTAAGGCACATTTCACTGCTAGATCTCTGTTCCTATCAAACTTCCTCAGTCTAATGTTTTGTGCAGCTGCTCTGTATAAATGTTGCAATGAGCTTGGAACATGTTTGAGATTAAAATTAAGGGGAAAATACACATCACATACACATTACATACCAAATACAAAACTGTTTAAGATTTTTTTGGGAAAATATGCTTCAGTGAAATAAATGAACAAAACTGGAAACTCCATTAAGATTTATGTATTCATTCAGCCATTTGTTATTGTTGTGGGTAAATAAATATTTAAAGAATCAAGAATGTTATCAAAGATTAATGGTTTTCTTCTTTTGTTAAACAATCTTGTGTTTTTATTTAAAAATAAAGGTGACCAGGTAATACCTATGCACCATTATTCCATTTTTACTAATTCTGTTCCCACACATTTAAGTACAACAGGCCCTTTGTAATTGACAAAGCCATGTATCTGAACAGGTGACCATCCGAGAAAAACAGGAAAAAAATGTTAGTTTGTTAATGCAGTGCCCATCCATAAGAAGAGTGGGAAAACCGAACCATGTACAGTAATTTTAGACCATTAAGTGTGATTTGTATTATATTGAAGTTTACTGAAACAATTATTCTAACTACAGGATTAAGTACAGTATACGAGAGTAGTATCCTAGGGAATAGTCAATCTGGATTTAAAAAAGGTAGTTCTTTCCTGCCCAACTTGTTAGAGCTCTTCAAACAAGCAACAACAGAAATAGATACACACAGAGCATATGGTATATTCAGATTTTCAGAAGGCTGTTGATAAAGTGCTTCATAAAAGGCTATTAAATTTCAGGTGGTTGGCATTCATGTAAATGTATGCATGTAGACATTTGGTTAATATAATAATAGAAAACAGAAGTGCAGATATGTGGTGAAAATCAAATCAAAACAAAATCAAATCTGGGTAATACAATTAGTGGATTATCTAAGGAATCTGTGCTTTAGATTCTGGTATAGTTAGGAAAGTAGTTATGTTTGATAAAAGATACCAAATCAGAAGGATTAGTGAACAATGTCAAAGCAATAAAATAATTTTGATTACAAAAAAATATAGATGTTCTGAATCCATACAGAAAACATTAACCAGATGCATTCCCAGGATTTAAAAGAATACCCTGACAGACTGAAAGAACTGAAACATTGCAGTCATAAAAAGACACATAAAAGACCCGATACAAGTATTCAAAATGCTCAAAACATTAAGTCAATACAGTGGACGTTTTCAGTCACAATGCACAGGAGTCAGAGGACAGAAGTGAAAACTTTATTGAAGTGCATTTAAATCTGAGAAAAGGAGGCATTTATTTACCCAAAAGGTTGTGGGATTATCTAACTAGCTATGTGGTTAAAGCCGAAGACCTGGCTTCCTTCAACAAAGATCTGCATGAGATCCGTGTACAAATAAAGTACATCAAATGTGCCAGAATGGCTGAATGGCCTGCTCTTGTTAAATTAAATTATATCTGTTTAAGACTTCAGAAATCAGTTATGCAAGTCTGTTAATGTAGGATATTAATTAAAGCCTGATTATACAACTGGTTTACTTTTTATGGACCGATTCCAATGAAACTACATCATTTTTGCAAGTGGCAACCTGAAACAATATTCTAAATAAGGTCTTACATATTCTATCATTTAATGTATCATCCCCTGATTTAAATTCTATGCTTCCATCTATATATCGTAACATATTGTTTGCCTTTTGTTACTGCAGTCCCACATTGTCTATATGTAAATGATCTGTCAACATAAATACCAAAGTCTTTTTCACAAGCAAATTCTTCAAGCTCATTGTTCCCTATTTTGCATCTATATCCATCTATAGACTATGCTTTTGCTATGTATAAATCTTTTCTACACTAATAGTAACCAGCCAGTGTGAATTCTTTTCAAATCATTTGTAATCACTTTTTCTGCTTCTACAATTTTTGTTAATCCTCCTGTTTTGATACTGTCTGCAAACCTGACAACTTACTAACAACACCTGGATGTAGACATTGGATATAAATCAAGGAAAACAGTAGCCCTAGTACAGATCCCTGCAGTACTCTGCTAATACCCAAATAATGGCATTCACCAAAAATTGCTACTCTGATTTCAATCCATTAACCAGTTCTCAGTTCAAACATACATTTCCCAAATTGTAATTCTAATTTTAATTTGCAAATTATTTTATTGCAATTAACTTAGAAACTTTTAATTTAAAATAAAATAGCCTTTTCAAAATAATGTATACAAATTTCATATTGTATGTACAGTCTCAAGTGTTACTGTAATAGAATAAAAAAACACTTAAGCAGAACAACGTTTTTTAAAATCCATGTTGACTGTCCCCTAGCGTCTTATTTTCATATAGATGATCCACTAGTTTAGTCCTAAATATATATATATAAAACAAATATCTCTGAACCTTTTGAGTAGACATAAGTCTTAATCGTACTGTATGTCTTATAAAAAAACTGTGAAATTAAACAGAGGACAAACATTTTCCATATGTAAAAAATGTAAGAGGCCAGCAGCCATATCACCCTGCAACTCACAACTGGCAAAAAAATAAAAAATAAAAATAAAGAAGTCCTCCAAAGTTGGGGGGGTAGAGATGGGTTAAAAAAAACACACAAAAAACCAACTGGCAACCACTGAAGCTAATCACGTGTGTGTCTGGTCAGTACCTGGTTGGGAGAACTCTTGGGAAAAACTAATGTTGCTGCTGGAGGAGGTATTATAGGGGCCAGTAAGGGGCGCTCACCCCTTAGTCTGTGTGGGTCCTAATGGCCCAGTATAGTGATGGGGACACTATACTGTTAAAAGGCGCCGACATTCAGACGAGATGTAAAACCGAGGTCCTGACTGTCTGTCAGGGTGTTTCTCGAAAAGTGTAGGGGTGTTACCCTGGTGTCCTGGATTAATTTCCCCCTGGCCTTTACTATTGATGGCCTCATAATAATCCCCATTTATGAATTTGCTCTTCTCCTCCCCACTGATAGCTGGTGTGTGGTGAGCATACTGGGGCACTATGGCTGCCGTCGCTTCATCCAGGTGGATGCTACACATTGGTGGTGGTGGAGCTTTCAGTGGAGTGTACGGAAAAGCACTATCTAAGGGTAAGGAATTAATTAGACTTTAATAATATCAAAGCCATGTTGATATTTAATCTAAAACTATTTAAAAACATGGCCCTAACCTTACCTAGAGAATATGAATAACTTTACATCAGTTTATCACAAAAGAAAATAAATATGCTGTAAGAGCTTTACTTACATAGGTTCTGAGCTATCTTAGGATCCAAGACTTTGAGCTCTTTAATTCTTTTTTTGATCGTTTTTTTCTCCTCCAGTCCTTCCTCCTCTTTTTTGGCTGCAAAGTAATCACACATTAACAGATATTAATTCCTCACACACCCCAGACCCATATGTTCTTCTTCATTAGCTGGGCAATTACTAGAGAAAAAAAAAAACATGAGTCATAATACGTCAGTAAAGGTTTTTACTTATGTGTACAGTTCAAGAACAGCAGATGTAATGATTTTTCTTTAGGGGAAAGGAATAATGAGAAATATGTAAAGAAATACATATTTCACAAATTTGAAAAAATAGCTAATTATTTTTAATTTCATAAAAATAAATATTAAAATATGAAAATATTTATATTTTCTTAAATTGTGTTCATTTACATTTAATCAGAACATCTTAAAAACAAGCGCTTAATAATGTAAAAGGTAGCGATAACACTTGTAAAAGTAATTGATACTCCTGGGGTTATCTGACGTGATCACCTCAATGGAGATTAATTACTAGATGCCAGCAATTAAGCAATAATTGTGTATTTGAACATATGCCTCTCAGAGCCTTTTGCAGGTTGTTTTTGCATGCAAGCATTCTGCTGACCAAAATAAATAACTGCATAAGTCTTTTAAGTCTTTAGAAAGATAAGTAAATCTTGGACTTTAAACACTCAAATATCATTAAAGTTAACTCATTTAGGTGTTATATTGAGTGTTAAGATTTAACATTAAATCTTAACCTATTAAGAATTGAACAAAAACCTTCACTGCACATCAAGATAGTAAATTTATAACATTACACAACGCAGTGGGTTTCTTCAAGCAATTGACTCAGTTGCCTTTTATAACAAAAATATACTTTTGATTCTCAGTGCCCTTTCTAATGAAATACTTCTGGTATTTGATTTATTAGGGCAGAACACAAATTCAGAATAAAAAAAAAATTCAATCTCAATTACCCAATTCTAATCTCAATACAGTTCAAAATGATTTTGTAAAGATACATTTTTACTGGTGTTAAATCTCAGCTTTACACATACTGTATCAATGTACAGTCTGTTTTCTTTTACTGTGCCAATTTCAGCAGTTACACATTGCCTTTATCCTGATTTTACATTTTCTACTGCACAAGAAGATACAACATAGAAAATAATTTGGTACACTTTCTGAAATAAAAAGCTGCAAAGAATATTGTCATTTTTGTACAAGAAAGAAACATAGTAGTTAATATACAGTATTTCCCTGACATATGTTGTGTGTTTTGTTCTAGGTCAGAAATGTTTCTGGAGATGTTTTTAAATAAAAGCAGAAAGCAATTCAGATGGTCTTCTGCTTTTATTACTAGGAGAAAGAAAAAAAGAACACAATTCGTTCAATAATCTTCAGCCCTAGAATTTCCATTTGCCTTGTGTCGAACAGTACAGAGCGTAGAAGTCTTCAATGCAAACTTAATTATTTAAGACACCAGATTAAGAGAACAAAATGTGTATCCCCAGAGGTAGATTGATAATTGTCTTGTGCACTAATTATTGTGTTTGACCAGGCATATAGGATTAGGAAAGTTTAAAATGTTAAGTTAATCTTATAAAAGTCAAGTCCATTTGATTCTTGCTTCATTAATTAATGTTAGAAGTATTGTGAACGTTAAGAAATATATAGTGCAGACTCACTGAGAAGGTGTTGTGTGATAACTGTTGGTAAATCACTTTGTTGAGTCTCGAAGTATTTACATGGCGAGTGTTATAACCTTTAAAAACAACCCCACTGAAATGCATAGCAGCTCACAGTTTTCCCCTGTAGGCTTAACTAAACAAAGCAAGCAGGGAAAAAAGCAATTATCAGTCCTCAAAGTCAAAAACTAAGCATACATATGTCAAGGCTGTTGGGAATTCACGAGGTCACATCCCAAGAAGGATGTTTACCTAACCGCCAGGGATATCTCACACATAACAAAAGGACACAAAACTGAATAATTACTCACAACGGATATGCAAATACCTATAACTTACGTGTTTCCACACGAGGAAGAATCACATCACAGACTTTAGTAAGAAAGAGAAAAGAAAAATGGAATAAACCATTTTAGAAATATGGAGATGCTAATTTAATGACAATGACAATTTCACATTTTTAAATATGATGCATCATTTAGAAAATAGTATGCTCATAAAAGATAAAAATAAATTATATAAATGAAAAAAAATACCTAGTTATTTCTCATTGTCTCTCTTTATTATGCATCTAATTCTTATTATAATTTACCAAATATTGAACTATTTAAACACAAAGGGAAAGAAAATATCAAATACAGAAAAAATAAAAATTGCGTTAGTCAGCAGTCTCATTGGTTTTCACAGAAAAGTCATCCACTAATTATAATAACAACAAATTGGCCAGTTCAGCCTGCACAGTTGTAATAAGATAAGGTCCTTAAAAATGAATGAAACAGCTTTTCTTGCCAAGAGTGTTTTTTAAATCCTTATATCTTCATAATATTTTACAGTCACCAAATTAAAAACTAGATCTTATGTCCAACTACTAAACTTATTTTCATCATTATCTTCTTAAAGAAGTTCTGGAAAAATCAGAAAAATCAGAAATGTTCATTCTCAATATTACATAAGTTCAGAGACTGAAGGTTTACTGCTGTTTACTGCTCTTGATCAAATTACAGTTATGACTACTGGCAGATAACTAGTTAAGTATAACATGACCGTTATATTAAAAAGGTATATATAAACATGAAAAGTTGAGAAAAAATGTCAGAGGTAAAAGTGATGTGTGACAAATCAAACATGGGTATTAATCAGGAGAAGTAAAACAAATGTTAGATCAAGATCACTTTTGATGAAAATATGCTATAGGGGGCCGGAATGGTGTCTTATACAGAAAAGAGAAAAGCTGTATTTTGGGATTAGGAGAATACTGATTTTCACAAAACTCCCAATCAAAAACTCAATGCAAAGGCAATAATCAAAGTTAAGTAATAATCACAATCAAAAGCCCAGTTGAACAAAGGTTAGCAATCAATCACAATTATAGCAGGTGGAAACATTTTATACAATCTAATAACATTTTGGCAACATGTAGTCTAGTAAATAGTAAACCCAATATTGCAAGATTGTCATCCTTACTTGTATTATTACTTTTACTATTAAAAACTACTTTCATAAAAACAACATCTGGTGTAACAAGACGTCAGAAGTAACAAGTCTCAAGAACTGTACTATCATGGAAAGACAGTTTGAATATAAATTACCACAGATTCACCCTTTGTTTAAATACCTATTAAAAAAAAACAGAAACCAAAATATCAGAACTGAACAAAAGAAAAAAAACTGTTAAATAAAAATATTTTTATTTCAAACCTCTCAGATTGGAAATTAGTCATTACCATTTTCTGAAAGAAAAATGTGTGCTTGTCATTAATTTTGGCCTGTAAATCTTCAATACTCATTCTGACATTACCCTATACTGAACTTGAACTTGAACTTTATTGCCATATGTAACCGGTGCTGGTACAATGGAATTCTTACTTACAGAAAGTCTCTCGATTGTAAAACAAGTGTAAAAAAAAA